TCGACGCGTAGTCCTAGAGCTGGCGAGAGGAAGAGCAAATATCCCACTTTGATGGGATATTAGGCTTCAGATTCTTGTTCCCTTTGAGAAACAAGAATTCTTATCGATCTTTCTCTCTTATTGTGCACCAGAAACTCTGCCGAAATTTCCGCTGAGCACAACAAGTGGTATCAGAGCCCAGATTCCAGATCTAGGGTTTGGTTGGAGGAGTAGATCAATTTGGAGGCCCGTTTAGGACTTCGTTGGTGGGATCTTTTGGTAAAGACTCTATCTTTCAGTTTTGGATCTATTCTTTGTTCGTTGGTGCGTAAGATGTCGGGGAAAGAAGGTGTTTCGGGTGTCGAGGGTGGTTCTTCTGGCGTGAAGACTATTCAGAGTTTGAATATCCAATCTATGAAGATAGATGTGGAGAAGTTTAATGGCACAAACAACTTTGGATTATGGAGATGCGAGGTTTTGGATGCGCTGAACGCGCAGAATTTGGAGGATACTTTGGAGTTAGATGGCAAGCCAGATGAGATTGAAGAGAAGGTTTGGAAGAAGATGAATCGAACGGCGTGTGGTGTGATTAGGTCTTGTTTGACTCAAGATCTAAAATATGATGTGATGAATGAGACTTCTGCAAAGAAGATTTGGGAGATTCTCGAAAGCAAGTATCTCACAAAGAGTATTGAGAACCACTTGCATTTAAAGAGGAGACTTTATCGTTTCCAGTTGAAGAAGAGAACCTCCATTAGAGATCACATGAACCACTACACAAAGCTTTTTGCGGATTTGGCGAACGTGGATGTTATAATTGAAGATGAGAACAAGGCATTGCTGTTGTTGAGTTCCTTGCCCGATGAGGAATATGAGACATTCGTCCTTACTCTGATTAATAGGAATGCATCTCTTTCGTATAGTGAGGTCACTGCTGCACTGGTGAATTATCAGCTTCAAAAGAAGGATAAGGAGACTTCGACCGAGTCGGTAGCAGAGGCGTTGGTCGCAAGAGGGAAGAACCCGAACCGGAAGAATTAGAAGTCACAGTCTAGAGTAGGGCATCCTATAATTGAAAAAGATCAGTGTGCTTGGTGCAAGGAGACTGGTCATTGGAAGAAAGACTGCCCAAAGCTCGACGAATGGATGAAGAATAAGCAGAAGGGAAAAGGGAAGCAACCATCATCAGAAGCAAACATCGTATCGGATGGTAATAATTCTGACTCTTCTATTTATTCGCTTTCTATCAGTCCTACAAATAGCTATTCGGAGGAATCTGAATGGATGTTGGATAGTGGTGCGACCTATCATGTGTGCCCTAGAAGGGAATGGTTCTCCAGTTTTGAGAAGCTGGTGGATAGTGGTGTGGTGTACATGGCTGATAACCGTGCATGCCAGATCCTTGGGATAGGAAGAATTCACATTAAAATGTTTGACGGGACTGTTAGGGAGTTAAATGATGTGAGATATGTTCCTTCTTTGAGGAAGAACTTGATCTCGATTGGAGCTTTGGTTGGAGAGGGTCTGAAGGTTCGTGTTGAGGACATGGTTCTCGAGATTGCGAGAGACTCTCGTATTTTGATGAAGGGCGTCAGGAAAAATAACCTGTATTACTTGACTGGAGGTATAGTGACAGGTGGAGAACTGACGACTTCTATTGATTCAACTAGACTGTGGCATTTGGGGCTTGGCCATTCCAGTATTGATTCCTCGCATAGATTGAAAGAGGGTGCGAAGACCTGCGGTTTAAAGTCCAGTGAACATGTTGATGTGAGCAAGAAGACCGAGGTGAAGTATGTCATTTCCAACATAAATCCCATCCGAGTGTTCATGACCCAACCGGCCTCCATGAATTGGCGTCTAGCCAGATGGGCTTTGCTCTTGTCACAATATGATTTATACTTCAAGCAACAAAAATCAGTCAAGGGACGAGCCATTTGCGACCTTTTGCCAGAAAACCCTACAAAAGATGTAGTTGAGTTGTACGACGACCTGCCGGACGAAACTCACGAAGTTAATACCACCTCACATCAACATTTGGGTTGCAACCAAATCCCCATTGGAGAAAGTCCTAGTAGTCTCTAACAGATTGAAGAAGTGTGTAAGAGACAGAAAGGTGAAGATACTCCATTCTAATGGGAGGTACAAGATGGACCTATTTCTGTATTGGAGCCGAGCTCACGGTATTTCGAGACACTTCATTGGAAATGAAATCTTGGGGCAACTAGATAGGGTGACAAAATTGGAAGACCGTGCCTTGCTGGAGGAGGATCGGTGTTTGTGGTTGAGCAATGGTTTGCAGAAGAAGTTCTGGACTAAGGCTTCGACATATTTGGGTTATCCTATTAAAGAGTTGTCAACTGCTGTGATTGGAGGTAAAACTCCATTAGAAGATAGGTCTGGTAGTGTCACTTCGGTTGAGGCTTCGATGAGGGAGCTAATTGACTCTCAGCAGGTGGAGAGTTTTGGACAGACCTTAGAGGTATCGTAGCGGGTGGAGAGTGATGCTACTCCACATTGGGTAAAGATTACTCCAGATCATTCTGCATTGTTTGGGATTCTAGCTGAGGTGACACAACGTGGAAGACATTTGGATTCGGATGCAGATGATGAGTTGGGTTTTGATTCGAGTGCAGCTGATAGATGTAGCTTGGATATGGTCATTGGTTCACCTCAGGTGGAGGTGTTTGAGGCCATTGGAGGTGCTATCAGCCGCAGAGTTGATGATATTAGAGAAGGGTTGCGAACTCTTCTATTGGATTGAGGTCGTTCGCGGCCATTTGGGTGAACTACGTTCGGCTTGATTCCTTAGGCAAGAGGATACGTAGGCAGTCTTTATGATGCAGCTGGGTTGGATTTTGATGGGGGGTGAGATCGATTTGGTGAGTTGATACCGACATTTGGAGAGTGTTTGCATTCTCGTTTGGGGTCTTGACTTGTTATGGATTGAGTCCGTTGTTATGAATTGTTTTACTACGTACTGGACATAACAAGTGGGATATTTGTTTTGGTTGGTGTCGGCTCAGTTTTTGGGAAAACTTCACCGAGGTGGAGAATTGTGAACGTCAGCAAAGTGCTAGTGGGGGCCACAAACACAAACAGCGTGAGGAAAGCCATGTGAAGATATGTTGACGCGTGAAAAGGAGATTTCATGAAATCGGGTCGGGTTAGTTATATGTTTGGCCTGGTTCTTTCGAAGGTTACAACTATATATATATTGGCTTCGTATCCTAGGTTTGTGCGCAGGAGCAGGGAGAAGAAAAAAAAATTGGCAGCGGCGTAGTCGTGAAAAAGGGAAAAAGGCAGAAGCTTTTTCGGCTAATTTGAGGAGAATTTAGGCACTCTTTGGAGCCGACGCTGAGTGAGTTTGTGCATCCTTTTTGAGAGAGTCTTTTGTGAGAGATTGAGAGATTGTTTGAGGGTTTAAATTTGAGAGATTATAAACCCTATTTGTACTCTAATAGTAGATCTCCCCCTCCTTGCCCCGTGGACGTAGGCAGTTTGCCGAACCACGTAAAATTGGTTTGTTTGAGTTTGTGGCCATTGTAATAGTTTTTAGGATCCCTCGACGCGCAGTCCTAGAGCTGACGAGAGGAAGAGCAAATATTCCACTTTGATGGGATATTAGGCTTCAGATTCTTGTTCCCTTTGAGAAACAAATTCTTGTTGCCTTTGAGAAACAAGAATTCTTATCGATCTTTCTCTCTTATTGTGCACTAGAAACTCTGCCGAAATTTCCGCTGAGCACAACACACTATACTAGTTTATATAAAGTTATTGGCTCTGAATTTTAAACCAGTATTATTCATTCTCAATAATATTACGGTATAGTATAATATTGGGTACGAGCTATTCTGATAATTATTTATATTGAAAACTCTTGAAAGACAAAGTTAGTTGAATGAGCGTATATTGAGCCATCTTATGATTTTATTCCTCTGGATTTACGTCAGACCCATTGTACCACCTCATTGTTTTTATTTCTCCATTTTAGACAACTTTTAAATAGCATTAATTAATCTAAACCTGCTAAATTTCTATTTACTCGATAAAACTTAAACACATATCAACTTTTTAATAAACTCTTAGCACTTAAATCCCTTAGGTTTTCTATGTTTTGCACTTATAGACCCTAACTTGTCTTTGGTAGCATTGTAAATCATGAAGTTTTTAAAATCTAAACTTTAGTATCTCCAATAAATTATTTATTAATTTTTTAATTTAATAAGTTTTTTTTTCTTATTCTTTATAATAGAACTATGGTAGGTGTGATAGTAAATTCAACAAGCATCGGCAGATAAGAAGTCTCAAATTGACATGCAAAAGTAGTACGAGAATATTTTAAAGAAGAACAATTTTTCACTTTAGCCCTTTTAAAATTTTTTATTATTAAAATCGATCCTTTTTCTTTTATTTATCAAAACCGATCCGATTTCTTAATTAGCGGCTTAATCACATTCCTAATTAGTCGGGGTTGCCAACCCCGACTATTTAGGAGGGTCTTAAACCCTAATTAGAAGCCTTAAATCCTAAAAATTAATATCCTAAATAGTCGGGGTTGGCAACCCCGACTAATTAGGAATGTGATTAAGCCGCTAATCAAGAAATCGGGTCGGTTTTGATAAATAAAAGAAAAAAGGGTCGATTTTAATAATAAAAATTTTGAATGGGGCTAAAGTAAAAAATTGTTCTTTAAAGAAATCTTGAGATATGTATAACAGAGAGTTCTAAAATATAAATGATATGAACTTAGGGTATATAATCAATACGAAGAATAAGTGAAAGTATATAGGTGCAAAGCGCTAAATAGCCATTATATTATTTTCATGAGTTTCTAATAGACGAAAAGACCTTCTTAACCCTAGGACGTAACAGCCTTCCGTCCCAAAAATCGACTCGAATGATCAAATCCCGCTGCAACTCAGGGGTAAAAATGTCCACAAACACCTGATATTAGCACTCCGGCCCACCGAATCGATACAACACCGTCGCGGGTTTTCCCAAGAGAGCTAATTAACTCCCAGCGGATGGAAGCGAAAAGCTTCCCTCTTTTTATTTATTATAATTAATTTATTTATATTTTATCATTCGGGAAGAAAATAAATATACCAAAAATAAACGAACCCCGATTTAGGGTTTCTCGTTTCCCCGTCTCTCCTTTTTGATTCCCTTCAGAAATCTCCCCCAAAAAACCCTAGCTAGGGTTTCGAGCACTCTATTGCCCAATCGCGGCATGGACGGCGCGGATGGAGCGGGCGATGATCGGACGTTTAGGATCAATTTTGGGCGCGAGGGTACGGCGAGGTTGAGGGAGAGGGTGAAGGAGAGGCTGAAGGAGATCATGGGAGATTACACCGATGATACCCTCGTGGTACGAATTCCCTCCCTGTTAAGTTCTGATTTCGTGTCTTTTATTTGATCTATAAGTCTTTGAAACTCAGATTGAAGCTATATTATGATTGCATGTGAATTACTTGGAAAACATAGAAGAACGGGTCATAAATCGGGAAAAGATTGAATCACATTGCGATTTGGGCTGGTCAGTGACATAAAATGTTACTGAAGTGGGTCTCCATACGAATTGACGAAGTAGAATATAAATCAAATCTAAAATTTTGTGTTGTTCCCTATGCCGGAGCGTAATTTTAGTCCAGTTAAGTTACATGACGCGGTTACTAGGTTACTGTGAAATTTCCAATCATCAACTCATTGTGGAGACACATCTTTTGTATTTTTTAAAACTATATATTTTGATGCTTATGGTTTGCATGAAAAACACAAGAAACACCGCATGACGGGCAGTTCAGTCCATTTATATGTATTTGTACTCTAACTGGCATAAGCAAGATGAATGTTCTGAAGTACAAAAGAGTATCGTAAGCTTATGCATATATGTTAAGCTAGTAGAGCTATCTATTTCGCATTGTGAATTCTTCAACTTTTCGTCCTTGTATATTGATAAGTACATGTAACTGGTCTTCATACAATGAAGCTGCATGCGGGTAGGCTCTATTTTTGATTGCCTGAACATATTAGTGGAGTCCAATGTCTGTATTGAAATCTCGCAGCATTAATTTAGGATGCTGAAAAGTCCTGATAGCATTCATAAGCATCCAATGGCTTATGTTCTGTGGAAGTCATGTATGACTCACATGAAAGCCAATTGGCCAAGTTTTAACAATGTCCTACATTACTTTCTTTCCATTTTATTAATCCTGGTAATTACAAAATTCTCCCCACAGCCAACCGGTACTTAACAATTTCCATAGGCTTGCCAGTATAACCATAAAACTTATCAAAACATTGACTAAATTTCAAATTATATAACACATAGTTAAGCTGAACTTATTAGATTAATTTCTTTTAAGTGAAATAGTAAATAATAATAAAAAGTTATGCTGTGGTAACTGCTGAAACCTTATTAATGTAAATATGTAAAGCAATATAGTGACATCAATATGAGTTTGTGCTTCACTATTTACCCCACCTTCAAAAATAGTATTCAATACTAAAAATGGGTTTACTGTGTGGTTTTCCAAGCCGTTCTAATTTATGGAACACTACTAAAAAGAAACTAATACTGATCAGTTGTGGCAGTGTTTAGGGATATACCTTCATAATTATAAATCGATTTGGATGGATTGAGGGAAAAGCTGAATTTGGATAGACAATCTCTTTTTTGTCCTTCATCATTTTCTTTTCTCACTACGAGTAATTTTTTAGCAAATGGTATCTCATGTTGTTTGACTAGGGCTCGGTGACCATTTTCCCTTTCACAATGGAAGTTTGTATGAGCCAAGGGTGAAGACTTAACAGTTGGTAGTACCAGTTACTTTCCAGAAGTTGATGGAGAGGGTATATTAGTCACGAAGACTAAACATGAAAATGATATTGAAGTGGGACTTTCCTGGAGAGAGTCATTCATGGATGATAAATAAACTTTCTTGCTTTCGAAGGGTAATGTAGAAGTATTTTTTCTTAGTTAATGAAATATGGGATTTCATAGGATTTTGTTAGTTTCACAGGACATTAATACTTACATAAGGTTCATTTCTTTTTGGAAATGCTGTATTTTGAGATGAAATTGTTTGCTCATCTGAACTGGTTTTAACTGCTATTGGAAGAGTTAGCTTAATCTCTAGCAACTAGCAAGCAAAAGGTTCAAATGTTTGTTCAGATACATGAGCATATAATCATTGTATGACATTTTGGAGGGCAAGTGCAACAACCTGAACCTTGATTTTTCTGTAATGGTTGAATCACATAATAATGCATGGGAAAAACAAATTATCTTTAAATCAAACGCTTTAAGAAAGAGCGTGCAATTACTGATTTGTGCCTCTGTAGGGATGTGCTGGTTCCTTAGGAATGTTCAGGCATAAAGGAGATTTTTATTGCTAAGTGGACCCATACTAATTGGAACTATAGGTGGCGGACTAGTACTGGTTAGCAACTTATTTGCTTGCTACCTTTGTAGCATGAATACTTCTATGATGAAGCCGTACAATACGGGACAACTTGTACCTGTACCGGACAGTATCAGACACTGACACTTCCTTGGACACTACTTGAATATATGCATACACTTACTTAAATATGCACTCAATTATAAAGTGCATGTTTTAGTTTAAAACACTCGTCATGCTCTTCTTGGACATATATTCTACACTTCAGATGTGATTCTTGAATCTTGTTGGATATGGATCTGGCTCGTTTTTAGTCTGTATCCAGCTTAGAACTATGATTTTGAAGGATCTCTGGATATCAGGTTCAAAAGTGAGTAGTTTGCTAATTTATAATCTACATACTAAAACAAACATAGAAATGTTATAGGACTTTTAATTCTCATAACATGTAATGTAAAAACAATATTGATCTCATGCAAATTATTTATTTCAATACATATATAAATAGCTGTGTCCCGTATCCTATACTTAAAAATTTGTGTGTCCCATACCTGGACTCGTTGTCCATGTAACATAGTTTGTACACATCTGAAAGGAACGCAAATCATCAGGGAATTGGCACCAAAGCTGTAAACAATGGGCTACAGACTACAGATAACAATTACATTCTCAAGTAGCCTCCTTAAGCATTGGTTTGTCTATGTGCTGATGTTTATGCTTTCAGAGGCTTATATCTTGTAGATTGACTCCTGCAAATTGTCGTCTGTAATTAAGTCTGCGAACTTGTTTAGAATATGATTAATTACTGGTTCTGTATATATCAAGACTCATATTTTAGCTATTGAACCACATGTATCCCTTCCTAGATGAATTTGGCATGATGCTGAACATGATGCCATATGTTTTGATGCACATGGCAAAAGTCAACCCTTATACCTTCTGTATAAGGGGATGCACAATTGCCACTGCACAGGTGTAATGCTACAGCTCTAATACCAAGGAGGCCTCTATGTTATCCTTGAGGAAGGGTATGTCCTGTGCGTCCTCAGATCAATCCTTACAACATTTTTAAGTTCTTATGTCTAGCTTAATTATTTGTTTTTCTTTGAAGCATATTCTAGTGTGGCCTTGATGTTGGACTAGAGAACAAATTAGCTGTATCCGTAATTTTAATAATGTGTAGCCCTAACGATACATTTGTTGTTGAGCAACATTTATCTCTTCCTAGAGTATGTTTAGGTGGTAAATTGATATCAGATCTAGCTTCTATGCCTGATTACATTCTTGTGTTTTTGCTATGTACTTTTGTGGTCATGGTATAGTGATAAATAAAGATCGTTTGCTGGTACTCTTATTCATTTCTGTTCCCTGTACTTTCTCATATAGATATGTTATATACTCATTTATGTTTTACCCTTCAACAATTGCAGGAATATGTTCTTGTTTTATTGAGGAATGGAAGGAGTAAAGAGGAGGCAAGGAGGGAACTGAATGTATTTTTGGGGGATGATAGTGTTTCTTTTGTTTCCTGGTAATTTTATTGTCTGGAAACAGATGCTTCAGTTTTGAAGTTCAGATGGGTATTATAGTATTCTCTTTTCTATGTGCTTCAAGCTGTTAAAAACTATCTCCTTCAGGTTGTGGAATCACTTGTCTTCAAGTATGCATCTTTATGCACAGCCAGAAGAACTGCTTTCTGAAGATAAATGTGGAGGAGACAAGTCTCAGCAAGAGTATGTGCATGGAAATGTTAAGATTGACTCAGAAAATGAGAGGGAAGATATATCTAAAACTTCCAGAAGTAGGCACAATAAAGATTGGAAAGGATTGGTTAAAGAAGAAAATAACCCATTTCCTCTTCGAAGCACTGTGACCAGGATTTTGCATTCAGAGGAGAGAAAGAACATCAGAGCTAACGTGAAACGAGCTCTTTCTCCTAGACCGCAGATTGGCAAAAAGCGAAGCCGAGATGACAGTCAGCAGCCAATCAAGGTTTGTCAGTAATAAAGTGCATATAGATGTCATGAGATAAGGATTTTTTGTTACTTATATTTTGCATTTTATATTGTTAAATAGGGACCAAGGAGTATTTTTTGCTATTGCTTTGCTTTGAGGTTTCTTGAGCACAATGAAGTTACTCTATACTAATTTGTCGAAGTAGTGGCATTTTTTTAGTATGTCTTCAAACTCTTGCCCTTTTCGTTTCCTTCGTCACATATTACGTTTTGATTTGGGTGTTATTGTAAATCTTTGGAGCAATGTTTTAGAAAGCGCTAGGCGTTTCTAAGCGCCAAACCTAGTGCCTAGCGCCCATGCGGCTAGGCGGACGTTTAAGTGACACATTGACGTTTTTAGCATCAAAAGAGGAAGGATGGTTTTCGAAGATTCAAATCATATCCTCACTATTTTACTTGAGATAGACTTGAACATAGAGTTTTAATCTCTTGTACATTTTATCCTGGCTAACTCTCTCCAATCATTACTATGCTTAAGCAAGCAATATACTTCTTTCTAACATTGTATAGTTCGCTCGTGTAAGTAGCCCGTTCTCTCCTAAGCGCTCCCAAGACTTAGACGGACGGCCTAGTACCGCTTAGGTTTAAGCGACCACCTAGGTGGGTGCCCAGACCGGTTTTTAAAACAATGCTTTGGAGTGGTAAATATAACTTTATGATACTTTTCAAACTGTCATAGTGAAAAGCACAAATGAAATGTTTATGTGCCTGCAATGTTCATTTATTTGTGAAAATACCCGCACCTTGTGTTGGGTGCCTTCATTTTCAAGTAGGAAGGCAATATAAATATAGCCACATTGCTAAGAAAGAAAATGATTTTACCTTTTTTACAACTTCTCACTAATCCAGTTCTTTTCAGTTTTGTTTTAATTAAAAAGGTTGATCTGCTTTTGATATTCTACTGCACAGGGTCATATCCAGCATCACCATGATGTTTTAGATTTATGGGAGTAAGATCTGGTATTCTCTGATTCTCGTTGGTTCTCCAAAAATAAGAATAAATGGTAAACATCTAGAAATAGATATTCTTCATAGCAAACTGAAATAATGGTAAACCGAATCAAACATTATCCCGGAAGGGCTCAAATATTGATCACAATTAGGCTCCAGAAGCTTAGTTTGTCAATCAACTTGCTTGTTTTGCTCCAATGTCAAACGACCTTTGGGATTCTTGTTATTATCGACCAGAGAGGAGATCAAGACTAGGGATGCAAAACGAAGTGGACATCAGGATCAGAATGTGTGAAATATTAGTTATTAACATGGTTGGAACTTTGAAGTATCATCTGGTACCAACATGTATTTGATATTCACTAATAATGGCTGATTCAAATAGGCTATCTCAAATGTGATGTACCAAAATTTATTTTGGTAGTGTTCTATTGGGGAAAATGAAAATAGTTGATGGAGAGCTTGTGGTTAAACTTTGAATTATTCCATGTACTAGTAATTTAAAAAAGGAACTGCCAAAACAGTTAACGACTCCTGAAACCAATACCAAAAAGGCAAAACAAATAATCTTTGAACCCCTGGTTCTTAACCAAGCATACACATGCACACAAAAATATAACTGGTGTGGGATATATAACCATTTGATTTGCTATTAGAATGCTTGTTCTGTTTGACTAGTGGAGTAGTATCAATTGCTGCATCCATCTAGTCAATTGCTTTTAACCCTGAACATCTCCTGTTCAAGCCATAATGTAGTATTTTGCATATATAATAGTTAAGCAAATTAAACAGAGAAGCTGAAAGGGGCTGGTTGTGCGTTCACATACGGAATGGGAATCACCAGATGATTTTGTTTGTACATGGCCCAGCATGACGTAGATCTTGTATGATTGTATCATGTATGGTGCAAATCATTACTTTTAGATTAGGAGCACAAGCTTGATATTTTCTCAAAAAATTTGAATTACCTGTCAATGCTGTCATTGTTATTGAAAATGCTAGGCCTAGACGGGGCCTAGGAGTTTTTTTTAATTATGACAATTGATGATGAATACATTAAATTCATAAAACGACTCAGAAAAATTAGAAAAATATATTACATTTATAGATTTACAATGCTCCATCAACTATGCATAAATACTAAACACCAACACAATGACATTTGTAATATCCCAAACTTAAAAGTCTTTTAAGTCTCAAAATATTGTCACAAGAACAATCAAACATAACAACCTCAATTAGCGAAGTACATATTTACAAATCCAGATTATCAAATCAACCTAAAATCCCAATTAACAAATCAACAGAAAACCATAAGGAACAGTAAAAATCAATGTTTTCTAGCTCTAGGGCAACGATGAGGAGAAAAAAGAAAAGAAAGAACAGAAGAGGGAAAAAAAAAGAAAAAAACTAAAAGAAAAATGTACCTTGACTTCAGGTTGGCCGGTGGCGAGGTGGAGCTGCGGTGGCAGTGATAACAGCAGCGAGTCAAGGCGGTTGGGTTTGTTTTATCGGGAGAGGGAGGGGGAGAGGCAAATATCTTTGTATTTCATCTTCCATGTATTTTTGACCAAAATTTCTGCTCTGTTCACATTTTTATTAATTTTTCTATTAATATGTCCCTACATCACTATCAGAGAGATGCAGCTCCCCGTCCGGTGATTGCGGCATCCCACCGGCTACTACAGTTTGCTGTCCGTGATGCTGTGAAGACCGTGCAACAAGCAAGCACTAGAACTGAGCCAGATTTAAAGCGAATTCGCTCTGTGGTTTCAACATCAATGGAAGAACCTTTCTTGGATGAGAGACCCCAGAGACTCAGATCAGTCGCGAGAGTACCAGGTCCTCTGTCGACAGCACTCAAAGCTGCAGCGGAAGCTGCTGAAGATGTAACTAAGGATAGAGGTCCAGGAAGTGTTTTTGATAGATTGAGTCGTGGTGCTTATTTAGCTGAGCCTGCCGAACATTCATCAATGGAACCTATGCTGGAAGGAGAGTACGAGAACCCAAACCAAAATCCAGAGTCAAGTCATGCTGAATATTATCAAAGAAGTGATTATGATGGACGTTTTATGGTGGACATGACGATGTCAAGCAGGATTGCTGCTTTGCCTGATGGTTCTGCTTCTGACAATGATGGATACAATAATGTTGCTGTTGTCAGAAATCGGGGTTTGAATACTTCGCACAGTGCTGTATCTGCAAACAGAGACAAAAAGTCTTTAACTTTGCAGCATAATCCTGCTCAGAATGCTGATGAGGTTGTAAAGAATGCAAGGTTGATCAATGAAGACCCACCTTCCAGTGGAATAGCAAAGGCATCTAGCAAGATCGTGAATATCTCAGTTGATGTAAATACATGGAAACCTACCCACTTCCAAGTGCCTAAAGATATCAGCGAGGCAGGGAATAGACATGCTGTGGACAGGGGTGATGTGAGTGCAGAGAAAACAAATGTCCAGCAATTAAAGGAAAATGATACTGCCATGACAGAAAATGTAAGTTTGGTATTTTATCTTTAGCATATTCAGAAAAGAACCTGCTTTTCATATGATCAAAGAGTGTAATGTAGCATGTTTCAAGGCATCTGAAGAATTCACCATAAATTTTCATATCATTTCACTGTAGAAATAAAATGACTAATACCGAGTTGTCTTATTTATTTATTTATTAGTTTCTAACATTCCGTGAAGATTTAGTGCACAGAGATACTAAAATGCATGATTTCCTGTTCTCTATTTTGTCACCATAAAGAAGATTTAGTAAGCATCGCTCTAGAGCTGCAATCAGCTTTTCTGGTTGTGGAGTTTACTGTGGCCTTTATTGTCAAATCCTGAGATGTTATCCTTGCCCCCTTTTTTTGTTTGAATTAGTTGTCTATCAAGCAATAAGTTTTTTGAAAAGTTCACCATGTTTTCCGAAATGGAGTGAGCATTCTTGAGACTTGAGAGTATTATCTATTTATTATTTGTTTAAAGCTTGATGTGTTTGTTCTTTTGGATTGTCGTCAAGCATTTATGACTTATTTGTTGAGAAGTTGTGATGATATATTTGATTATTATGACGCTATATTTCAAGATTGTGATGATTTTATTTATTGCCATTAGGAATATTTTTTTAATTAATTAAATATTTGAATAAATAATAAAACATGTAACTGATGTTGCATGCTACGTTGTTTTGTGTTTTACGTTATTGAGAGGCGAGAGTTACTGTACACATTATCGTTATTTCGACATTGTATTCACCATTAACTCTTGGGTTTTTATTGTCAATGCTACCTTGGTACAAAGGAAAGAGGGTAATTTGGACGGCTGTTGCGGTAGCTGTTGGTATAGTCATTGTGAGTTCCATGGTACATGTGAGATGTTCTAATTTCATAGTTATTAACATGATTTGAAATTTTGAACTCCCAAGCTATGGCTTTGTTCGTTTTCCCATTCTTTACATAATTATTTTAAAATATCCTTTTGATCAAATTCCGCATCAGTCTTTTGGATTTAGTTCTTCCAACTTTTTCTTTTTCCACCTTGAAAAGAGCTACAATTTTATGGAGACAAGTGACCTGGAAAGAAATATGCACATTGTACATAGGATGGAGGGACTGTGAGCAGACAGTAGATGTTTACTTGCATCCCTGCAATTGCGTGAGAATTATGGTGTATTCTTTCTTGATGTGTTCAGAGCAATTTTCTGGTGGTTTTGATATGATCTCTAGATAGCATCTTGGAGTCTGTAGTGTTAACGTTAATGAGTCGGATTTTAAAACCTCTATGCCATCTCTCAGTGGTGGGGAGTCCATTTAGAAGGAGATATGCAAAACCTATCTGTTCCTCCTACTTAGTGCATGAACCTTTTCATATGCAGCCTATGGTCATAGGCTAGAACGTGTATGATTTTTTTTAATCTTGTACCTATCAAGATTTAAGACCTGAAGCATGCTTGACCAAAATAATTATGTAAACAGTTTTTGCATTTTTGACTCACTGTAATTTTATTGACTTTGGAGAAGTAATAAGACTATAATTAATAGAGCAAGAAAGACTAGAGGAAGACCCAAGAGAACTTGGTTGAAAGCAATTAAGAAGGACTTGACAGCTGTTAACTTTACCAAGGAGATAGCCCTTAACAGAACTTAATGAAGAATATGATTCATGTAGCTGAACCCCAATGTTTAGAATAAAGGCTTTGTTGTTATTGTTGTTGCTTCTGCCTTTGTATAAGACATGAATAGTAGTTGAATCGTTCAATGGGACATAAATAGGAGTAATTGAGCTTTATTTTTCCATGTTCAAAACCTTTATCAGTCACAAACATTCCAATCTCCCAAGTATAGAAAAGGACTGAACATGAACAACAATCAGCTTTTCCCCTCTTCTATCCTGTTGCCAAATTTATCAGATAACCTATGTAGTTATATCTGTATATCTTGTACAGGAAATTGCGCGAGCTGATGTTCAAAAGGAGCCCCAGCATAAAGGGACTCTGACATCAACACCTGGTATGCAGTGGATTTTAACTTATGAGTCTGGATATTGTAGAAGCCACATAATTGATGTAAAGAGATCATAAGGAGCATAAATTGTCTCGCTGATTAATTTTGTAATGACGCACTCTGTTGCAGGTTCATATACCACTAGCCGTCCTTCTGATGATGTTGACTCTCGAACTGTTTTTGTCGGCAATGTGAGTAGTTTCCATCACGCTATATCTTCACTCTGAAAGACCTCTGAATTTTTATTGCTTACCTTTTTGAATTGAAGGTTCATTTTGCTGCCACAAAAGATTCTCTATCTCGTCACTTCAACAAGTTCGGGGAAGTGCTTAAAGTAATAATTGTGAGCGATGCGGCAACTGGCCAACCTAAAGGGTAAACTGTCATAATGTATTTTCCATCAGTACAAGTCATCTAAAATTTTGAATTCTCATTTCCCCCTTTCTTTTAACGGAAACAGATCAGCATATGTGGAGTTCTTACGGAAAGAATCTGCCGAGTCTGCACTATCCCTGAATGGCACATCATTTTTATCTCGCAGTCTGAAGGTAAGCTGATGCCCATGTTTACTCTCTTTTTTATTCCATACTTATACGTATTTAGATTTTGCAGAGCTCATAGATTTACTTTGTAGATCTTCTATATGTTAATTATCTGAACACACTTTGGATAAATCAATGACGCATAATGTACATTCTGTGTACACTTACATGATTAATCATTTTTCTTCAAGATAATTATTACTATCATCCAATCCTTCTTTCCTAATAAAGAGGGGGTCAGTAGGTCATATTTTATTGGAAGCAGAAAGAAATGAAGAATAAAACCTTAATGGTTTAAATTCATAGATTCTAACCAAGTAGTTTAATCAAAGAATCAAACAAAAAAGATCTAAATGTTCAAAATACCTCACCTATTTCCAGTCTAGAAAGCCTCTCCTATGCCTGTGAGGTTTTTAGGATTTTCTGACAGTATCATTTATATTTCAAAGGACCCTTTTATATGTCCTTTTAACACATGACTCTTAAGGTATCCAACATGCATTTTTAGACAATTTTAAAGGTTGCCATGGTTTTTACTTTTTATGTGGCATGTTTCTGATTTCTTGATGGCATCGGAATGTCCAGTATGTGTTTGACATATGCATCATTCCAGTGTTCCATCCAGTACATGTAGGACGCAAATATTGAACTTCTTTCGATCTTTGTTTCTCCTTCATAAATTTGAATGGGTTGTTGGCTTCCATTATAATATGTCTTGGCCTCTTGAGAGGATTTTATTTGTTGCTTTACATAATTTAGAAATATTTCAATGAGATAATGTTAATGATGTAGAAGAATCTTTCGTTACATATATGCTTTTGTTCGCCAAGCTAGCTACAGAAATGTGTGCAGTGCATTTTATCGGTATCTTCAGAAACTTCAGAGAAAATTATGTTTTTCTTAAACACCCTTCAGAGAAACTTAGAGAAATGACGTAGAAGAATCTTTCGTTATATATATGCTTCCGTAATTTTCACTCTCTACTTTCTCATTATGTTAAGAGTTACGGTTACTGGATGCTACACTGTCATTTTTGTAATTTTCACTCTCTAGTTTCTCATCTTTGTAATTAGTAGTTTGAATAAGTTTTTATCATCTTCTCTGCCTTGGTTTCTAATTCCCCATACACTGCCTGAGGATTGTGCAAATGCCCGATCGTCAGCATAGTTCCGCTCACATCCTCTTTGAGTGCCCTCAAGCCTCCGAGCATTCTTACTCTCATTTTCATAGGTTTCAATGTTGAGCCCGAGATCATGAAGCCATCTCCCAAATATATAGAGCACATTATTTGAACTACAGTGCGGCGAACTTGGAGAAGATTGAAGGAGAATTTGGAGAAGATGAAGATATATTTTGTTTTTCCAATACCCTTTTTCAGGAAAAAAGGATTAAAAAAATGATTTTAGGAGCACTGAAGCAAAAGTCTTATTAATATCAGAGTACCTGAGAAGTAGGAAAAGCAGTTAGTCTGGTGCAGGATAAGAGTCAAAATTTTCAGTCTGCGCTGAAAAGTCGTACTAGTTCTTGCCTGAAAGAGGCAATCAACAAAAGCACATACATCGATCTACTCAGAAAAGAACTCTCATTTCAATCAGATTCCTGTATTCCTTGTTCTTTTCTCTTGGATTCTTGTCATCAAAGAAAAGGAAAACAACACAAACCTAACTATAACTACATTTCCTAGCCCTATCTCTTTTGAGAGAAATTGTTCACCTTTACCTCTGTTAGTCTTATCATTAAAAGAGTTTGTGATAAGATTATAGACAAGGAGGACTAGAGTTAGGCCTAAGAGAAGTTGACTTGAAGTTGTTAAAAAGATATGATAGTGTTAACTTAGTGGAGATACCCTCAACAGAACTAAGTGGAAGAGTAGGATTCATCCAGCTGACCCCAAAATTTGGAACAAAGGCTTTGTTGTTGTTGTTGTTGTTGTTGTTGTTGTATTAAACGAGTTTGTGGTATCCGGTGCTCGAAACATTTTATCTCAGTCTATCATAATACACCTCCAGCCTTAAATCTTCTGTCTTATGATGCTTCAAGCTATTGTTACAGGTTGTTCGTAAAAGTTCAATACACAGTGAAACTGCACCAATGATGGGTTGGCCTAGAATTGCACGAGCATCCCCCTTCACTTCTAGGGTTAGCAGAGCTGCATTCTCAAGGGGAGTTCTTCCTGGTGCTTTTAGAGCTCGACTTCCTGTCAAACCCGGAGCACGGAGTTTACAGTGGAAAAGGGAGGACTCAGCTGCTGACGGTACGAAAAATACTCAGAATAATAACCCCTTAACATCTGTAACCAATGTTTCATCTCCAACTGGGCGTAATTTGACATACATTAGACCGGAGTCTAAAGTTGACGCAAGTTCTGGTCCAGCCTAATAAGCTCTCTTATGGTGGAATTTGTGAATACTGAAGGTATAAATGGTACAGAATTGGAGCCTGGCTCTTCTTTGAAATCCTTATTATGCGCAGGAAAGGGTTTGCCTTCTTTCTCTTCAGTATGAAAATTTTGAAAAAAAGGGGGAAATTTTATTTGAAGAGGATTGGTTGGAGGTATATATATATATATATATAATTGGCTAGTGATTGAAGAGTTTGTTCTGAGGAAATCTGTGAATAGCACTTTAACTAATCAGCAATCGGTTTCTCTCTTAGCAATTTTAGTTTCTGCTGGCTTATAAGATTATGTTTTGGGAGTGAACAAACTGGATCGGTGGATTATCTTTTATTGAATTTTCCTTTTATTTTTGCTGTCCCCTAGCGTTTATTGGACCCTTTTTTTTTCCATTGTTTATTATATGTACATTTTTCGCGAGTAGGCTAATAAACTATATCGAACTGCTCTGTCTAAATTAAAACAATCATGTGAAAGCTGAACTCTGATTTTTTTTTTGTTCGTTTCTTTTCTTCCCTTTCGGGGATAGGGAAAAGAAGTATTATTATCTTATGAGCTAAGTTCATAATGTGAAATGTGAATGTTACCTATTTATCCTTAAGAGTGTATGAGTGGATGCTGGTCCACCTGTTGGGAGGAAGCTGTTTGGATGTTTGATGCACAACTTGAGGATTTATGATACGGGATTGAAAGTGGTCGTCCACATCTCCGCTTTCTCGTCGGGTTTTTTTTATTCATTTGGTTCAGGTTCAGTTGGAATTCTAAGGCAATGATAATATTATTGTTTGATATTTGCATTAGATACTCTTGAGTTAGGAACCATTATGAGGTCTTGAAAAGCATGAACGCCTCGCTATTTGATTCCTTCAATATTTGCATTGATCTAACATCTGCTGAGGTTATATTGACAAACCTTGGTAGTTACATATTTGCATGGCGATAAAGTTTGCAGGACATGGTATTTTCCTCTTCGTTTCTAGCTTTATTTTGCTATTGGATGTCTGGTAAAATATTGATGTACGTTGAGACATTTATCCGACTTATCGGGGTTTTATACATTGCGATCTGGGGTTTTCATGCCAAGCAGTTGTCAAACAGCAGAGGGAAGGCTATCGTCTCGGATTCATCTCCGCTCACAGAACACAATAGAGATCACCCAAATAGGAATAATTCCCCAGCTTCGTGGACAATAAGAACTTAAAAAGTAAAAAAAAAAAAAAAGCATCAGATCGATTTGCCAAGAGAACACTGTACAGCAACAAACATTATCTTTGCTCGTTTGTCGAGCTGTGATTGCAACGTCCATGGGCGATTTTGTCGAATTCAACGCATATTGGATTTGTCAATAGAGCATAATGCATGATTCATACTCCTTTTGCATGTTTTTCCATGCAATGGGTGCAATGAGGGAGACGCAAATCCAACATTTGTGGGCGGGCAGTTGTCCATTTAATTACAGGGTCTTGTTTACGGCGTCGAGTCCATGCTAGACCCTCGGTCTGAATTCAATGCTATCTTGGATTGTTGGTAGAACATTGCTGACGATAAATATTAGGGTTTTTTTTCCTTCCTGGAAACCACCTTACAATTATACAGAAATCACCTTTCATTTTCGATTTATACATAAACCACCTTTAAAGTTGGTTTTTGTTACAATCAACCACCTCCTAGTCAAGTTTTCACTAGAAAACTAAAAATAAGCTTTAAAAAAAATTCAAGTTCAAGGTACGGGAGTTGTATCCTAATAAGACCCAAATACTAAAAAAAATAAGTCATGTACATTGAACTCTGACTGTAATCTTCTTCATTTTCGTTTTTTTTTCTTTAATTTATTAAACTCTTCAACTCTTTAATGGGGGCGTGTAAACTATCGTCCAAAAGAGGGGCTCAGCTCCTTGACTGTTATACCACTTCCTTCTTAGACCAGCTGCAGCAAATGATGTGCTTATTTGAGCAGCACAGATAGATTCTCATATGGGAGCAAATTTTTTATATAAAATTTGAAGGTTTGGTACATAAAACTTTTTTCTGACAAAATTAGGAGAAGTGCTAGTACTGCATCGAATGGGCAGCTCTGCGTCGAATCGATCATCCATTACAAGAAAGAGTAATATTCCTATCAGAACATCACTCGATGCGGGAAAAATTCAGCCACGCAGGAGCCATCTCATGTGGAGTGAACTACCAACAATAGCATTTGAACTGCAAAGCCACCCGTAGCATTTGAAATGCTTGTAATCATAAAACAGCTAAAGAATATTTTTTTTTATCCAAAAAAATAAAAAAAATAATCGAAATCAAGCATCAATGCTTATTTTAAAATTTTCCACTTGTTACTGTCTAAAGAAAAAGGGAGGCGCTACGGTCACACCCCCAACCACACTCCTCTCTCGCTACAGTGTACTGAGACCCACATGAGAATTTTTTTTTAAATTCTTATATGGACCCTAGTACACTGTAGCGAGAGAGGAGTGTGTCTCTAACATTTTCCAAAGAAAAATATGCGCAACATGCAAACAGACACAAATTTTCTGTGCAAGACTTAAAAAGATGAAACCCAAGTATCAACAAAGACACTCTCCTGCAGCAATACTTTATGCGTTATATGCTAGTATTTAAAACGAACAAGAGTTCCATACATTTCCAACACACAAGGTAGAGAAAAGTCACATTCGTGAAGATGGTAGTCAAACTCTCATAGCTTAAAACGCCTTTCTACAATGAGTTTTTTCTTCCGATTTTTGAAGACAAATTGCTGAAAGTCTCCATATTAAACAAGAACCTCCGTAGTATCCGTTGGGCATTAAAAAGCAGACGCATCTGAAAATTTAGGAATCAGACATGCCATTATAATTTATAAATCACTAATGATGAGCTTATGGCATGTCCCTGTATTGAGTTTAGGCTCCATCTGGCTGGAGAAATGGATTTGCTATCTCATCGGTCCCATCTGTTGGTGATACAAGCATCACCGCAGTTCCTCTACAAACCTACAATAAAAAACCAAGTACTGATCAACTCTATACAGGGAAAAATTTTGAACCCAAAATAAAATCACAGACACAACAAGGTCGTAAGTAGATAGGCAAGAGTAAATGAAAATGGTGATAAAAATCATTTCTAGAGGCACCTAAAATTTATAAGACTAACCTCATTTTATATCCTAGAGCTAGACTTACCAACTAAAGGTCAAAAGACATGAAAAATAAAGAAAGAACAAGAGAAAGCAAAGGAAAATATGACGTACAATTAGGCCAAGGCGCCTAGTCTGATCAGTGGTCTTCAGAGGATCATCAGAATCTGCAGCATTCAAAAACGATACACAGATTATACACCAGGTAGATAACAAAAATGACAATGAAGCCCTTCATCCCTTACATTGAAAGGAAACTACTTCAAGAACAACAACAAAACTTTTATCCCAAATTCTTGAGGTCAGCTACGTAAATCCTACTCTCCCATTCATTTCTATTATTGGTCATTTTCTCCGTTAAGCTAATCATTAGCATATCTTTCATAAGTTTTTATTTTATTTTGGGCCTATAAACCCAAAATTTTACACACATTTATTTTTAAACCCAAATACTTCCAATTACATCCCCAGCATTTATTTTTAAACCTAATATCTCAAAAATTGTCTACTTGTATACGTAATTTGGAAAAAATGTTCTAAAACTACACTTTCCCAAATTATAACCCAGACACCTAATGAGCTATAAACTATCCCTTCAGTTTGAAAACCCCAAAATCCAGTCCCCACAATCGATGTCCATCTCTCATTCACACAACCATCAGTGTTGGCCCCTCTCCGAGCCCAGCAGTTTGACACCACTGCCTCTCTCTTGCACTTGTTTTGTGGCAACAAAGTCAATGAAAGCCCGCTCCTAAAGCTAACGAGATCACCATTTTCTCAGGTCAAGCAGATCCCTGAGCAGACAAGGATTTTGAGCGAAGAATTGAGATTTAAACTTCTTTGTTGTAGTTTCTATCATTTGAAATATTTAGCCTTATTATTTTATTTACACCGTGAAATTTTGGGATTTTTTTCACCATGGTCTGTTGAAAATGCCTTAATAGTCGGTCTACATTGTGGGGTTCGTCCAAACCCAAGGAATCTACTTCATAAGTGCAGTATTCCTTTTTTTTACAAATTCATATTCGGAAATTCTATGGTATGGTGTTTTCTTAGTTCCAAAAATCAATTCACAAAAAAGAAAAATATTCTACTTATGAAGTAGATTCCTTAAGTTTCTCCAAAATGTAAATCTGACTGTGACACACCTTCAACAAAGTATGTCAAAAAGAACCTCAAATTTTCATAATGGAAACAACTCTTCCCATAGTAAGAGTTTTTTTTCTTTCAAATGACAGATATTAGAACAAAAAAGTTTATATCTCAAATCTTTTCTCAATATCATTTCCACAATTAGAAATCTCCTTGACAGTTGGGGAGCTCATTGGCGTTAGGAGAGGACTTCCATCGACTTTATTTCAAAACGAGCAGAAGAGAGGGGCTGCGCTCCAAACAGTTGGGCTAATAAAAGCATTGGTAAATGGTTGTGTGAACGAGAAAGGTAAAAGAGATTGTGGGGATTGATTTTTGGAGATGTTTAATGACGGGATTGATTATAGCTCCTGAGATTCTATCTGGGTTATAATTACAGAAAGGGTAGTTATAGAACAATTTTTTTTCAAATATCATATACAATCTAATAGTTTGAGAGATATGGTTTAAAAATAAATATTGGGGGTACTTCGGGTGTACACGGAAGTACGTGAGTTTAAAAGTAAATGTGGAAAAACTTTGGGTTTATAGGAAAAATGCCTTTCTTAATTACTTACAAGTTATTCTTAACTGGTGTAATTAGTGGTCTCATTGTACATGACCAAACTATCTCACTGGTGTAATTAGTGGCCTCGTTGTACATGACCAAACTATCTCAATGATACTCTATTGCTCTCTCATTTCATCCTTAATAGCATCGACCTGCAAATGCACCCATTTCTTATCTTTCAGTGTATATTTATAAGACCATTATAACATTCTTATTTCTGATATATGTCTTTTCATTATAATTGTCCAACATTTTGATCCATAAAACATCGTTGGTCTTATAACTGTTCTATAGGATTTTCCCTTCAATCTCATAGGCATTTTTTAATCTTTTTACTTTAATAATATACATTTTAAATTTAAATGACAATAGCTAAGTTTGAGGGAAATTCAGACATTTGAATGAGAATAGCCCCCACATTGAAGGAAATTTCAGAAGGAAAATAACTTGTTACTTAAGAGGCAGCTTAGGCACCCAGCTAATCAGGTTTAGGAAGTTTAGATCAATGAGAAAGTAATCCTCTGGTGTCTTTATATGAACCAAAACTCTGCTTCAAAAGTATAATGGTCTCTTTGTAACTTTGTTACATAAAACATAAGGTCGTGTGTAACCCGGTTGGGCAAAAAGAGGTATCATGGAACTACAAAGAGAAATTTAGGCAACATAATTAGCCAACTGCACTTCTGGAAACACATTATGTATTACTGAAAAATGGTTCCAAAGATGCTATTAAGAAATGATTATTGGATGGTTTAGGATGACTTCGAAGACGAGGAGGACATATTTCATCTTTAAGAATTGATCTTCTCTCTTCTCTGTGTCTATCTTGTTTCTGTTCCTCTTGATCTCTTTATGGTCCAAAATCAGTTTCCTTTTCAAGTCATCTAGGAGCAAACCCTAAATTTAACCATACCAAATTTGGTAGATTATAACTCCCAGCCAAAGATCATGTTAGATATGTGAACCCTATTTTTAAAAAAATTCCAGCAGAGGATTAATGTATAAGCAAGGCATTGCTCATGTACATAAGATGGTACTTTAACTTGTTCTATTCCCTTTAAATAATGATTTGGAGTCTGCAAAGATGATTGCAGAACATCATTCCAGTAGTTTCGTACGTTCACAGCTAAGTTAAGATGCAATTAGGAGAAACCAGGCAAGAGATAAATTATAACAGGTAAATCCTATCAAGCATGGACATGGTATAGGATACGTGGATTATATGATATGGGCAGCGCAATGTGCAAAACTAGGAACAAGCAATATTGTTATAGCAAAAATTATAATAGACGTAGTTATCTGAACAAAGAACATATAAGGCAAATCTTCGAATTAAGAGTATGGGTGCATCAGAGTTATGGCACTAGTCACACTACTAAAAGTATATTATATCAAGCATAACGTTTGTTAAAAAATTGGACACATTATATAAATGCGGTGCATCTATAAAAATAAAATTAAATTGTGATATTTTTTGCTTTATCAACTGTTTAATCCCAAATACATCTATGTCATGTATTCAAAAGACTAGATTATCTCACAAATTTTAGGACACGTCAAAGGCAAGTATCTAAAGCGTATTCATCCAATCATTGGACACTTTATCTGATACAGATTTGTCTCCTCATTTGAAGTATAAGAACTACACAGAGAGGAACAGGTGGTGCAGATTTCCCAAAATAACTCCTACATAGCGTGCTAGCAAAATGCCCTCCAAAACGTGTTTCTTAGCTGCATGAGATTTCTATACTTCGAGTAAACTTGGGTGTTTTCAGAAATCTAAAACTACTTTGTGAAAGTAATAAAAGAGTAAGGCAAAATTTTTAAAAATGACTTATGGCTAAAGTGTGAACCACAAAACCAGTGATGGCTTCGAGCCAACATATTTGTTAACCAAATACCTCTTAGGAATTCGACAGCTTCATCAAGAACCAGGTTAAGCAACTGATCATATCCCTTTAAAGTGCCCGTAACTGCACAAAAATAAAAAAAAATAAACAAAGTCAGATAGGCAAAACAAGCTACAAGTTCTGGTGCACAGAATCAAGGGCTTGAATACAGACTTCTCATTTAATCTTCAGCGAGAAGATAATTCAGCCAATGGCATATGAAGATAACTGTACTATGGAATGATGTATCAACTTTTTCTTGCATCTAATTCAGAATATGGACAACCCAGGTGACTAATTTTGTTTTCTTTTTGTTTTGATGATGAAAGGCCATAACCAACCCAAATCACTGATGAGTCATACATGGAGAAGCAAATAAGTGGCTAAAAATGCATGACATCCTCTTTCAAAGAATAAAGACGATGTGTATACTTAAAGCTTGCATATGTACATGTTGAGCTCGATGCATCACTCAAAATACAATGTCGTAAATTTCCTAGCTAGAAGTTAACCCAAATACTAGATGTGAACACTTATAGTAATTATATCTTTCAAAAATAGTTCGATAAATAATGACCCAAATACTATATGTTATAAGCTGCCAACAACCTATGTTTTGTGCTGCTTTTTAGTTTCTCTTAATTGACAGTTAACAATGACTCGTTTTTATACTTATCTATGAAGTACAGGATCCCACAATGCCTTTAAACCGCTATAGATGAAGTCATCAAATAATTTTTTTTTGCTTGGTCAAAAATACAGCTCCAAAATAGACTTGCCCATAGTACAAAAAACAAACCTTGTCTTCCGCCAGTGAGCTTGACTTGAACACCCTTATCAACAAACTTTGCCAAATCTAAAACTGTTTCCTTGCGTCCTGACTTCAATATACAATGCGGGAATAGCGTCAAGCAGATAGACCCTCGTTAGAAAGGATCAAAAGTACATCAATAAATGGAAAGAGAAACTTCAAGAATCATGTTCAGAGATAACATAGGCCATAACATTGATGCTAGAACAGTAGATAAAATGAAGTGCTGAATCATAACCAATACAGCGCTTTGTTTCAAACTAGTCACTGTGCTGCTTCCTAGTAATAGAGGCGTACAGAATAAATATTTAAATGTGGAAATGCATTCGTCTTGGTGCTCTCAGTCCTTTAAGCAACTCAGAAGAAATATTAAATTGTTCACGCTTCACAGAGATAAATTTCAGTCGAGGTTATTGCCCAGTAAGATATAATCAAAGAAAGTGTAAACATTCAACAACCTATGCGATAGATACAGGAGAAACAATTATATACAAATGCAATAATATCGGCAAGTGCAAGTATGGAATATTTTGCACATAAACAGGGCTTTCACTCACCCGAATGGAGTCCAACCTTCACTGCCTTTTCTCGGCTCACTTCCCTTAGTGGGGAATCCAGTGAAAGAAGAGTCAAAAGACTAAGATCAGTCTATTGCCACTTACGGTGATAAAGAAATAGTTATTGGCTTTCTTCCCCTTCAAACTTCACTATCTGGCATCACAGCCTATTCCGACATCGTGCCAAGCTCTAAAGGAATCACATTTCTTTTCTCTAGCCTTTCGGCTTCCGCTCCTACTTCTTAAGTAACATACAAATCACTAAGACAGTAACATTATCATGTCTGAAGGTTTAGAAAGAGAACAATATGGTACTCTATTGGCTGTGTATAGCTTAATAACATAATAAGAGAGCACATGTTGAGGATAGTAACACGTTTGCTAACTGATGCATCTGATATTCAGAGGTGCATGCTCACATCGTCACGGTTATTCTTAGTTCAGAATTGGTAGTTCACTTGGTTTTCTCCAAATGAATAAATTACTAACAAAATTTAAAGTAGTAGGCACAAGAAACAGCTAGAACTGTGTAGATCAATTCTTCTAATGTCAAAATATGTGCTTCATTATCATCTTAGGGACTACGCGTGACGAGAGGGTCAACAGTTATCCCAGTCCCATTTAACCGTACTTCACCTAGAATTTGGTATGGACCCATTGACAAATTAGAAGGCTTGAACCATCATTACTATCAGTAAAAGCTATTTTCCACCATGGGGTTGGCCATACCTGATTCTTTCACTAACTGTAACCTAACTTTAACTCCCAGTATGGCGTCAGATTCCTGGCCAAGAAAATATGGGAAAGGCGGCGCGTAATTTTAGTTTCTTTACAAACACGGGATTCAGCGACTCTCCCATAGCGCCATCAGCTATCTTTTATGTACACAGAAACAACACGAGTTAAATAAAATCCTACATGTAAACAAGTCAAATTTGTTTCACATCTGTTGTCTCTGCTCTGCAGAATCAATATTCAACAGAATTGCAAAGCTGACTAAACCTGCAATTCGTACTGTACACCCTATTATCAAGGTCACCGCCAAATTAAGCAGACAATTATTCAAGGAAAACAACAATCAGCATGCACTACCAATTACTGTTGATACAATCCAAACATTCAAAATTTACAATACTTCATCCATCTATAGACTAAAATCTAGTTTCTTAATCCAAATATGTGCAGTATAGACTCTATAGATAACACCATCTAGACTATCTCATGTTATAGCTTCAATTCTAACAAGTGGCTAATAACATAGATCCAAATGTGATTTGGTTATCACAACTCTTTTGTCAAACGTTGGCACGTGGGGTCTGTGCATCTGAGCAGGACGGCTCACAAACTCATAATCGGCTATGATGCACGGATACGGATACGGAACACAGATACGACACGAACACGGATACGGGATACGTTAAAATAAAAAAATAGGATACGGGGATACGACGAGGATTTTTTTTAAATTATTATTATATATAAAAAAATTATAAAATTCAACTAACAATCTAAATTATGAATCTATCACAAAATAACAAGTTTGTAAAAAAAAACGAATTGGAGTACATACTCATTCTATCAAAAAATAACAAGTTTGTAAACAAAAAGGAATTGGAGTACATACTCTACTCATTCAATCACAAAATAACAAGTTTGTAAACAAAAAATACATCAAGATGAAGTGGAAGCTAGTCCGATGACTTCTTCATTGCCTTCATCATCATCAAACAATACAGCCTCCATGGTGGGTTCATCAAGAGACAAGGTGGCGACATCAAGAATATCGACACCTTGAAATGAGTCGAATGCATCTCCACCAATATCCCACAGCTTCGATTCTCCTTCTTGATATTCTTGGGATGACCGAGAAAGCAAACGAAGATTGTTATGCACATACACAAGATCTTCTGCCCTTGCCGGTGCCATCTTGTTCCTCTTCAAAGAGTGGATGAATGAGTATGTACTCCAATTCCTTTCGCAGCAAGAGGATGAGCATGGTTGGCCTAGAAGCTTTAAGGCCAATGCTTGAAGATTTGGAGCTGAGGATCCGTAGAGCACCCACCATGTTTTTGGATCCATCAATCCTCTATCAGCAAGAGAATTTGGATCCCTAAAAGTGTCAAGAGCGGCCGAGAATCTAGCATATTCCAAGTTAACTACCCTCCGTTCATCGGTATTAGGATAATATTTCCTCAGACACTTGGACCTTTCCAAAGAGATCTCCTCATCCTGATAGGGTGCTTGCCGATGGATATTCTCATTGAGCCATGTCTCGTGATAATATCTATTAAAGTTTAACATTGAATTAGACATTATTAATAAAAATAATCACATCAAAAATAATGAATTGGCTCGCAAAATCTAAATTATTACCTTGGATTCAAAGTGTGCGCTAAGCACTGAAGTGACGTGTTGCTCTTATTCCATCTATCCTCCAAGATCTTGTGTACGGCATCATAAAATGAGGAGGGATCATTTTCTCTTTTGCTCTCATGTCTATAAATAACAACATTCACCTTCTCAATCATTGTATCCCACATATCATATACCAAATGAAGGCTGGGCTCGTCGGTATCGGTGAGCCGAATCATATCATATATAGGAGCAGTGAAAGCAATAATATAATCCACCCTATCCCACCACAAATCATCAAGCACTTTCTCCTTAACAAATTGTGCTTTTCCCACATCATCATCTCTGTACGAGCTCCAACAATCGCTAAGAACCATATCTTGGAGGCTTCTCTTGATCACCGTGAACCTCTTTAGCATGACGATCCATGAAGCAAATCGAGTATCAGCAATTGAAAGAAGCTTCATCTTCGAATGCTCATTGAACATAACCAACCTCATTGAGTGATTCATGATGAAGTTCTTAATCATCAAAGCATCATCATATACCTTTGTAATCCAGCTGCACTCTGCATAAACAATTGCATTAGCTTCTGTATTCTTCGCAACACAAATATTCTTAAGGGCAAGATTGAGGGTGTGAACAACACATGGAGTCCAAAAGATGTGTGGAAATTTGCCCTCCACAATTGCCCCTGCGGCCTTGCATGCCGAAGTGTTATCAGTAATGATTTGGATCACATTTTGAGGCCCCACCTCTCTAATGCAAGCTTCAAGCTTCTCTGCAATGAAATATTTATTCTTCTGCTCTCCCTCAGCATTCACACAGTGCAAGAACATTGGCCCGTTGTCTGAGACCGCAATAAAATTTATCAGTGGTCTTCTCTGTGCATCTGCCCAGCCATTACTACAAATAGAAACCCCATTCTGCTTCCATGTGCCCCTGATGGGCTCCAACAACCTCTCTACGTGAGCCTTCTCACGTTGCAAAAGAGTGGTCCTCAAAGAATTATAACCTGGAGGCTTGTAACCGGCAATTGAATTGCTTGCGGCATATGTGATCATCTTGGAGAAATAAGGATTTCTTGCCAAATTAAATGACAACCCACCGGTATAAAACATCCTTGCAATTATTGAATCCAATTCATCTATTGCCCCTGTATTGAAGGCCTGTTCAACGGTGGTGACTCCTCTCCTCCTCTTTGGCTCACTTGGACGAGAAGACATGCTTTGACTTCCTACTGCTGTACTTGACGCTGAAGAACCTGGCAGCGTCACTATCCTAGGCATAGAAGCCATCACCCTTGCTTCTGATTGATCCATATCAGTTTGCATGTCTCTCATATTCTGTGGCTTAACACCTTTGCACATTTTAATTCCTTGCCCACTAACCCGCATTAGATGAGCTTTGACCCTAGAATAGGAGGATGTAAATACTTCATGGCAGTAACTACACATCCACTGCCAATTCCCCCCTCTTTTACCCATCTTCTCCAACTTCGTGACATACTTCCACAAAGGAGTGTGATCATCTTGAATAGGCTGTGCACCAGAAATCCCTTCTGCTTCCATTGCTATAAACAAGTAACAAGTACTAATTAAATATTAAATCATAACATATATGGAACGTAATACGAAAATCTTGATTTAGTATAAACAAGTAACAAGTACAAATTACAATGCAAGAAATATGTATTTTTATTTAAAATATGAAATATTTTTTTAAGTAAGAATTAAGTGATTAGCAATTAAATATTTACATGTTTATAATTTATTAGTTAGCATGCTAATTACTATTTTAAGCTCTTTTTCTAATTATACTAATTAAAAAGTTTGTTGCTCACTGACTTTGTTTTTTTTACAGATTATACTTGAGAGTTAAGAAACAATGAGCAAGGATGAAGGATCAATCAAATTTTCCAACACAGCTGCCAAAATAAATATCCATAATTCATTCATTAAATATGTATATTCATTTGTGTAATAATTCATTGTCTAACAAATAATTCATTGCCTAAAAAATAATTCATTTGTGTAATAATTTATTGACTAACAAAATTATTGACTAACAAATTATTGACTAACAAAAAATTCATTGCCATAACAAATTGAAACGTTAATATTCATAATTCATTTGTATAATGTTAATAATTCATTTGTGTTAAAAACTGAAATTGAAATTGAAAATATATTCATATGTTAAGAAATTAAAACTGAAATTAAAACTAAAATTGAGAGAGAGACAGTGAGAGGGACGGAGATAACGAGAGACGGTGAGATTGAGAGAGAGAGAGATGGAGAAATTGAGAGAGAGAAAGAGAGAGAGACGGAGATATTGAGAGAAAGAGAAAGAGAATCAGAGAGAGAAGACGAGATCTCACCTAGCATCGACGAGTGGAGGAGATTAACGACGACGAGCTGGAGCTCGACAACGACGAGTTTCGAGTGGAGGAGATCGACGACGACGACGAGTTTCGAGTGGAGGAGATCGATGATGACGAGATCTGAGAGCAGCCAAGAATCATGGACGAGGACGCAACGACGAGTGGAGGAGATCGACAACGATGAGCGACGAGATTGATGGACAAGGACGCAGCGATGCGTGGAGGAGATCGACGACGACGAGCGACGAGATCAAATGACAAGGACGCAACGATGAGTGGCGAAGATCGACGACGACGACAAGATGCCAGAGAAGACGAAATCGATGGACGAGGACGAGATCGATGGCGGCGTCGAGAGTCAGGCGAGTGAAAATATTAGGGTTCCCTTTTGGGTCTCGGTTTCGGTTATGGGTTTTGTATTTCATCATTTTTTTCGACGAATCCAAGTTGTGTCGCTGCATTTGTTGACCGTGTCCCCTCTACTTGGACCGTTGACTCGTGTCGGACACGGATTGACCGTGTCTGACACATGTCGTGCACGTGTGGTGCACGAATCCGTGTCTGATTCTAGTCGGACACGGATTCGTGACCTCCTGGGGTGAATCCGTGCTTCATAGATAATCGGTCCCTTAGGGGGATGGTTAATAGGACTCTAATAGTGTTTGGTTAAAACTTTAGCTGGACTGGGTTTTTGTATCTCCCCCAAATATAAGCATGTGCTACATATAGATGCAAAGAAAATAAGAAAGAAGGGAGTCGTCATTTCCTCTCCTCTGAGATCTGTGTTCTAGGAGTTAGCAGGTGTGACATGCAGAGGTTACTCATTGTACAATTACTGTAGTTACCCCTTGGGTGTTAGAAAAAAGAAAGTATGTAGCAATCCTATGGGAATCATCAACATCTTGTAATCCCTAAGGCCTAAAGTATTTTGATTATTAGAAAGAATGTTAGGATATCTTTGATTCCATTGTGCTTGATTATGTACTAGATCCCCTTGCATGCGTAGATTACCTAAGTTTGAACAAAATAAAAAAGGAATAACTTATACTTACAAAACTAACATAATAAACTACCATCTCATGTTATAGCTTCAATACTATAAAGTGCCTACATTTTTTGTTAAAACAGTTTCTTACAGTAGAATATAATTGTTCCCATGCCACCAATCACTCTTCTGTCTCTATGATATTGAAAGTTCAAATTTTGTAGAAACAATATTATTACATGATCTCTCCGCAGAAAATTATGCAAACGTATCCAGTTGACTAGGATCCTCAACTGTAAGAGGTAAAACGCGTGCAAATAAATTACCCAAAAAAGTTTCATGCTAAAGTCTACTCATCAAGCAACATATTCAATTTTTCTCTCAAGTTATTAACGAAGTTTCGTTAGGCAGTGAAAATTACAAGCCAACTGAACGACCTATACATAATTATAACCAATAGAAAATTACGAAAATTAGAGTTTTCTCATCAAGACACACTTACCATCTTACTGAGAAAACTCTTTCCGCTGCGAAAAAATTGTTTTGAACGCAAAAAGATCACCTGCAAGCACAAAATCCTTATTTTAGTAAGAAAATACAAAATTTTAAGTAAAAAAGGGATGAACGCAGAACCCTAACCCTAGAAGTTAACCAAGACGAGGAAAATATTTATCGAACTGGAGAACTAAGTACAAAAGCGAGAAAAAAAATTCTCATTTAATTTGATTTCTGCGATTTGAGGGAAATTTGATATCAAAGTGCCCTAGGGTTTTTCCACTTTCCTTTTTATTTAGAGTGAGACGAGATCAATAAATGATGAAAATGCGAAAATAATTAGCAAAAAAAAAAAGTTATTAACCGAGAAAGTAATGGTACCTGAGCTCGTCGTGGACGGCGCCGGAGGAGTCGATGAAGTCGGAGAAAGATGACGAAGTGGAGACGACGCACAGGAAGGGAAGAGGACCGGAGAGAGGAGGGGGCGGAGAAAATATCAGGGCTTTGAGAAGAGATGGGGCCAAATCTCGGCCGTTGGTTCCATGCGATAGAGAGTATATCTCAACCGTTGATTTAATGTGACAAGGGTAAAATTGTCTCACCACATTCTAGATATTTTACACTGGTTTTCATTACCCACTCTGTCGCCCGATTTGAGGGGAGAAAATTCTCATAAAAATTTTACACTCAATTCCATCCTCTAAACCCCATCCAAACACACTGTTGAGGACAAATTTTCAAAACCGACCATTTTTCAAAAACATTTCCAAAAAACGACCGTTTTCAACAATATTTGTCAAAACCGACCTAATTTCAGCCATCGAGCTGAAACTGGATCGGTTTTGACGAAAGAAGTTCTCAAAATTCACGGGACTTGAAGCGATAGCTGAAATTGGGTTGGTTTTGACGAAAGAAGTTCCCAAACTTCACGGGACTTGAAGTCCTGTGAAGTTTTGGCAGCCATGTAACCAAGCTGCTAAACTTCATGGGACTTCAAGTCCCGTGACTTCAAGCCCCGTGAAGTTCGTTTCAGCTTTAAAGTTGTTTTTGAACTATGAAACTTCGCGGGACTTGAAGTCTCGTGAAGTTTAGCAGCTTAGTTAAATGATTGCTAAACTTCACGGGACTTTAATTCCCGTGAAGTTTCATATATTTTTTCGTTAAAACCGACCTAGTTTCAGCCGACAGCTGAAACTGGGTCGATTTTGACGAATATTGTTAAAACGGATCGTTTTTTGGGAATATTTTTATAAATGTAACTGTTTTGAAAATTTGTCCCAGCATTGAAGTGGGGATGGCACATGGATTGGGTCGGATTTAATCTGACTTGACCCGGTGAGTTCTTTCCAACCCGACCCGTTTAAGAAATGGAATTAACTTGTGTTGAGCCCAATTATAAAGAGTGATGGGAAGCCCACTCGAAAAATCAAGTGTGAATTTTAGGACCCCCACCCAGAAAATATTTCTGGCATTTAACGTGCATCAAAATCGTAACATCAATGCGAGAATCATAATATAAGAGTTATTATCTTTTTGATACACATTAAAATGAATCCAATCTATCATCCGATATGATATCGATTTTAATTAAGAATGTCCTGCAATAGCTGCATTCTGATAGTACTTGTACTGGACGAGATTATTTTGGGCCTTTTAACAAATTAAAAATTAAAATATACTTTGTTTTAGTTTGAAGGCGATTGAAAAGAAAATGAAAAATGAATAATATAACATCCTGCCATGAGCTTTTTTAAACATTATCATTTTCAAAAAAAAAAAAACGAGAACGTAAATGAAAAATAAAAATATAGGTCTACTATATCTAAGAGTCGAACGTTTTTACATTCTTAACTACTCAAGATGTGAATATATTTTACTTTTTGTCCCTTAAATTTTCAATTCTTTGTATTTAGTCCCTCAAATCAGCGATTTGCTATTTAATTCCTCAAATCCTACTAGTTATTCCAAATTAATCCCCAAGTCATCGTTTGATTTCGTAGAAACATTCCGTTGAACTTTAACTTTGTATCCCTCTGCTTGCTGGGGGGTCAAAATGATTCCATGGTGAACAAATTTTCAAAAACAGCCCCAAACAGATTTTTATTTTTCAAAAGCGACTCATTTTTTTTATTTATCAAAATCGACTCACTTTTTACCACGTGGGCTTAATGAAATTTCTAAACAGTCAGGATTGGCAACCCCAACTGTTTAGAAGGATGCTAAACCCTAATTAGAATCCTTAAATCCAACCCCGACTGCTTAGGAACTTCATTAAGCTCACGTGACAAAAAGTGGGTCAATTTTGATAAATAAAAAAAAATGGGTCGATTTTGAAAAAAAAAAAACTTTTTGGGGCTGTTTTAAAAATTTCCTCTTCCATGGTTGTACTATGAAGAGAGCTGGAAATAAGCAATTTATATCATCTCAATGCAATAAGCACGTACATAATAAATTTCCAATAAAACTGTAGCCTGCATTATGTACATCAATAACAAAGACAAGAAAACAAAGATCATAGTGAGAAAATTCACCATCCCTTGTCACCCAAGAGTTTATTTTAGTGTGATGAGGAGAACTTGGTACTTCTCGAGACAACACAAACATGCGTGGAGAATAGAAGGATAAGTTATCATCACTGATACAGATCAATTACAGTAAAAACAAACACTAGATGGTAAAACAAGCTCTAGAAAGGCCACAGGTCGCCCCAAAGAGACCGTCGAGCTTGATGATGAAGAGCAGGATTCTTACTCTTGGTGACAACCACGCGCTGAAAAGCCCCCTCCGACCCGTCTCTCTTGGTGGATCTGCACACATCCATCTGTATCTGCCTACCCCTTCTCACTGGCGCGTATATTATCCGGCCCCAACCGCCTCCAACATCAGCTCGGTCCTCCTCTTCTTCTTCTTCGTCATCGTGCTCATGAAACATGCTGGTTTCTCCAACGTCAGAAGCGTAGGGAACTAGACTGTCTTCAAATTCACTCTCTTCGTCTTCTTCAGACCCAAACTGGTCCTCTGTTAAAATATCATACACAATGAGCATCTATTAAGTAAATGAAGGATAGATGTATATCGATAATACAGCTGAGGTGAGATTAATTAAAAAATTTGAAGTAGCAGGACTGGACGACATTAGAGAGCAGAAGCAAATTTGTTCAACATTACAAACGAAGACAACAAAGACCAAATGAACAAAAGCTATATAAACTTTTGACGACCAACTGTTATAATTTTTACAATTGCTTTTTGTTCACTTTAAAAGTTGTACTACAAATTAAATATATTAATTATGACGCCAAGAAAAATAACATTGTAGCATTTTATAGCTAAAATAAAGGAAATATAAAAAATATGTATGACATTGCTTCTTCATAAGAGTCAAAAGTATACCTAAATTAAAGCAGAACTTACATTAAAAAACAAATGCTAATTGATAAGAAATTGCCATAAGAGGCATGCAATCATAAGAACGAATCCTTAACGTATGCGTATCTTACATATATCCAAGTGCATCGTGAGGGAAGATAAACTTATAAGAATCATTGACTTAATAGGTATGCCAGCGTAAGTCAGCTATTAATAGATGCTTATCACGGCTACCGTCTTTCCACCAAATTTTGAAAAAAATGATTGTCTAGACTATGGCATAAAAGATTCCGCTTCAGTTGTACAATGTGCTTACTACGTTTTAAATCCTTATGGTAATAAACAACAAATAGCAACTAATAGCCTGTATCAGTCTGCAGATATATAATAATAATAATAATGAAATAAAAAATGGATTACCTCAATGGATACAGTGATTTTGAGTACAGTTAAGAGACAAAATTGTTGGGCAACATACATACCATAGTCAATAATAAGATCCTCAGGGTTCCTTTTAGCATGTTGTTCCTTTAGAGTTTCAAATTCCATACCATCAAGTGGCCACGCTTCCCTACTCAGGAAAAGTCATAAGCATAGTCATCAAATTCAGTAGTCATGAACTTTCCAATGGAGTGAACCATAATGAAAAAAAGGGAATTTAGTTTTCATCTTTAAAATAAGAGGAAAATCGAGTGAAAACACTTCCCTGTTAGTTAGACCAATGCAGGTCACAATGAATGATAGGCAGATTAGTAGTCAAAAAAGCTGAAACTCCTTTTGTACCAAATAAAGTATTAGATTTCAATTTTAGCAGTACGATCCAGTAAAAGACTTCAACGAAAACAAACATCTAACCTTAGAATATAACAAGAAGCCAAAAATTTTAATTAGAATATAAAAATTGAGAGTGTCCCCAAAACTTGAAGTTGCTGGTACCTGCTAAACAAGCTTTTGATGCATGGTGTGTATAACATTATATATTTAGCTAACACACTGATTAATTTAGTTTATTGCACAAATAATCTTTACTCCCTCGAAATCTTACATTGGTCTTTTTCCACGTCGTAAGGCAACAAAGCAAAATTTCTCGTCCTCAAAACCACGTAAGGGCTCACCCTTGGACCGCTGAAATATTGAAAAAAAAAGTAAGGAAAACACCAAGCTAACTGAGAATCTTACATCCAAAAAAGTTGTTAAATACTATAGTATCAAAAATAGAATTCATTGAGAAAGAATGGCCTGTGAGGGGAAAAACAGACTTCATTTTAGGTTTTAGTCCTAAACACATGGCCCTAGATTATTATGCACTTAATTGACCAACGCTTTCTTCCATAAGAAGAAAGGCACCCAGAGGAAAAGAACTGTGGTTAGATACCACCTATGAAAACCGAACTGCAGTTCAAAAAGGGTGAATCTACGAGAAGTTTATCCCACCCCATACAGAAACTAGAAAACCAGCTTCTAGGGCCTAACAAATATTTATACAAAGAAAAGCATATCATAATTCAAAGTTCAAATGGGGATAATACATAGGATCAGGAACTGAAACCACTTAGAAACTAGAAAACCACCTTGCTTCATCAATTATTTTTGCAGAATTCACATTTTATTCCCTATAAGTCTTATAACTCACAAGCTAACTGTTTAGAAGAACACTGCAATGTATCCATAAAGGAAATTAAATTTCATAGAAAGCATTTTTTCATTTCTTTCTTACAAGTCTTGTTCACCACAACCAACAGGGAAATTTTGTCGCTTTCGCTTTTTCCATATTTAGTTTGAATAATCTTTGAATGAGCTCTGAGGCTCTGTTTAACACTGGCTTAAATTAGGGGTTAGGAGAGTCGTACCCAGCTTTATCTAGCACGCATTTTTTATCAATGTGTATTAAAATAATAGAGCATGTGGGTTAACTGATGTTAATCATGGTTAGAGAGGAATGTACAGACTCACCTTCTCTCTTAATTATCTATTTATTCCGGGATAAATCTATCAAATAGATATGTTGACAATTCTCTAAAAAATTCCAGTTCAAACAACAAAAAGTGATAAGGAGTCTTACAAAATTATCTCTTCTTAGTCATTGGTCCCTAAATGATTTAAGCAGAAGTCTTATATAATACAAGAGAGCATAATTTTTTTTTAAAAATTCGGTGCATTAATATTTTTCAGATTGGTCATTAACCTCTTTTTCTTCCAATTCCTAGATTTTTTGGATAATCTTTTAATAGGCTCTAAGAGACGTTTTGGACACTTCAAAAATTTTCAGATTGGTCAATGTAACCTACCTGGCAATATTTCTGGTCCCTACCTTGATTTAAATAATAATACAGACTTCCATTATACATTTTCCCTGCATTCTTAAACTAAGAGGGAGATATTTGACTTCTATGCCAGTGGTCATATCTGAGTAACCAAACAGGGGCTTTTATTCAGCTGTCATCAATGATCTTTATGCAAGCATATAAAGGAGAATTCTTCCAGTTTCATTATGGATCTCTTAACACAAATCAAAATTTTTCTATGAACAACTTATAGTGGCACTGCAAGTATATGCATAAGAAATATGTATGCTTAAGTGGAAGTAATTTGAGGTTTATACAAAATGATACGAGTAAGATTATGCTCTACAGGGGAATGAATGAGATGTTATTAAAATAATTGGAAAAGGTGAACAAGAAAAGACAGTGTTCAGATGGTTATTTTACCACTTATATGTCATCTGGAATTTAGACTAATTAGCCATGTCTTTGGACTTGATCTAAGTATATCTTCATTTGTTGATTGACAAATGGTTGGGTAACATCCTATGCCCTTAATTGGAACAATAAAGAAAGGACAGTCATAGTATTGGTCATTACTTCATCCATATGTGCCTATTCGGAACATGAGGTTTGAACTAATAGACGTAAAAAATAACAAACAGAAACACTATAAGTAACACACCTTATATGCACGTTGCGATGAAGTGCGCTCCAGGCGCTGAACAAAGTGGCAATATTTACCACTATTCTCCAAAGGACAACGTCCATCATGAGAACACTTCAAAAGCCATTAAGATGTTAAAGCATTTGCACAGCAAATACAAACACCAAAAAATAAAGAGAGGGACAAACTGCATATTATTGAAACTCACAGGAGCAACGACAAATGCGCCATTCTTTAAAGCTGCTGTACCAACAGCAATGCTCATCTCATCAGAAGAGACTTCGCCTGATTTATTCTTGCTCTTGCGGCATTTCTTTGAAGATATTAGTAAAAATAAGATTGAGAGAAATAAATTATTATGAGATTACTGAAAATGCAGAAAATAGATATTGATGCGGAAAAATAATCATACCCTCTTAGCCATCCATAGGATATAGGAACGCATTTGGCGAATAATTTTTGATCCATGAGGAGTTCCAGGCTCCAGCAGAACCTACTCCAAAGTTTTTACCTTCTTCAGAGAAAATGATAGTAAGGTGATTAACCCATGACATTTGAACTGACATCATGATGTTTCATCACCAATAATATTAATATAAACTTGCAAAAAAGTTTGAAAAAAAGGATTAGAGAAGAATGTTAATGTGTTCTTTCCTGATAAAGTACATCAGTCATTTTTACTTTGTGATTGCGAAGCATATAAACCTCCACATTCAATTTTTTTGGTAAACACAGTTAATCAAGATTCTGCATTTCTGGTTTTTAATTCATCAATCATTTTTTTTCAAGTCCAATCAAAGATTAGAACCACCAGGGTACATGCATATGCATACACACACATACATATATATCGGATACTGAACACCAGACCTACTATGGAGTTATTTAGCTTTGTTATAACTCTTGTATACTTATCAAGTGGAGTAAGTCAGGAACTAGTCAAGAGAAGGAAGACAATTTTTTTAGTGGATCTAGAAACAGAAAACAAACACTAACTATGCAAAGATAAATCAGGATCTGAAAACTAAAGAAGAAATACAGCAAACTAAAAAAGTATATACATAAAGAAAGAATTATTGTTAGTCTATGTACATTATTGTGCTTCAAACTTCTTTTTATTTGACCAATCAGAAAGGAAATAACAACAAAATACAATTTAAAATCCAACACAAAGAGAGAAAAATGAAAGAAGTCTCTTGCTTTCTTGCTAAGGCTCATTTTGCAAACAGAAATTTCGGATTTGCAAATTAATTATCAAAGGTATAAATCCCATCCTAAAATGGCATAGAGAAGTTGAGTTAAATCCAGGCGACATTGCACTATACTTTCATAATAGATTTATGTTAAATTTTATATTTGCAAATTTCACTAATATAACAGACTTTCAACTCCATATAACCCGAAATCATGGATTGTTTAGAAAAGTAGATGGGGAAGACTTATGATTTCCGCATATCTAGTCTTCAATGAAATATTCCAAGTTCTAATGGAAATTGGGAATGTTGCAGACGACGAGTAAAATAGCATATGCTGCATATTGCTGAGACTTCCTCACCAATTTTATAATGAGCAGATGCGGATATGATCTATAATTTCATGTCTTAGCTTATAGATTAATTAATTATCACGGAGTTAACTTTACCTCTATTTAACAAACATATGCCAACAAATACCACAAGTGCTCAAGTAAGCTTGATAATTGCATCATCTACAAAAGCTATGGTATAATGCAATATGCTACCCATTAAAGTGCACAACAATCAACAATTATATGTATATGGGTACAGAAGTTATGTTGTCATTTTAGACCTTAATAATTCTTTGTTAATAATAAATTAGACCCTCAAATCTTCTTATTTCTAATGCACACCCCTCTAAATGTATTTGAATTTTTTAACCCCCTGATTGGACTCCGTCCATATTTGTTATAGTAGTATAGTTAAAATTTATTTTAAAGATACGAGGGTGTTACTAAGAAACATGAAGATTTGGGCCAAACATAAAATTAAGAAAGAATTCAGGGTCCAATATGACAAACTCTTAAAGGGTATCATTTAAAATAGCTTAATAGATTTGGGGGTCTAACACACAATTAAGAAAGAATTTAGACTCTGGATATACAGGATATGAATTACGACCATATTTCAGTAAATGAGCTACCCAGAAATGAGTGGTGAGATCCACCTGTCTGATGACTAGCAGGGTGCACCTTAAGACTAGTTAATCTCATTCAGTAAAATGAGTAGTCACTTCATACACATACAACACATGCACGTACACACTAAAACTGCAGCAAGTATCGCTATTTCATCTCATCTCATTACTTTGTCCTGATCATACCATCTACCACTAAATTGTGTCACTCTATTAATGTAATCCTTTCATACTGCAGGTTAATTAATCTCAAATGAATACTGATACATAGCGCAACTCATGAACACTGCTGCAACAATAATGAAAGTTGTCTTGCAATGAATGTACACGACTAAATATAAGTATCAAGGAAAAAGCCAAATGTTCAGTAGGTATAAAAAAAGTTTAAAACATAGTGTTAAATATCATACCAGAACATCCTGTGTAAGGTCCCAGAGCTGGCGGACTATGGTAATCCGGTCACTAAGCGAAGGTATCTCTCCCAGTGCATATGACTTCAATGATTAGAAATCAACAAATAAACATCAAAACCCAGCTATAGCAGCAAATCTTTACGCTATGTCCAAATTATTAAATATGAAAAAATGTATTTCTCACAAAGACATGAAGCTTAAGTAAAAATAAAACTAAGTCACAACTAGTAAACCATCAAGAATTACCAAAAGCTATAGTGTTACTGCAGATACAAACTAAAATTCATGTGCAACCTTAGCATGTGCTTACTGCTGAAGACAAAATGCCTTTCTGTGGCTAGACAGCCCACTGTAGACAACTATACCTCTTTTTGTCTTTGTCGAAAATTCAAAGAGCAGATATAAGATCTCCATGGCTAGTAATGTAGGTAAAACCGTAAAAGTAAATATCCACGATCAGATGCACACATTAATTTGAAGGCAAACAACTTAACTTCCGAATACTGAAGTGTTCCACAAAAATAAAAATAAAAATATTATTTTCTTCAACAGCATAAAAATGTAAAAGAGGATCTAGGTCTTTGGAAATCAAGATACTATTATACTAGTCCTATCAACCATTACAGATCTCAAGAAAATCCAGGAGCTATTATTGTTTGGACTACTTTTTTTTTTGCTGCTAATTTAGGATATCCAAAAAAATGTGGAAGAACCAAAATAACCACTATTCAGGAAAAGCATATCTAATATAAGTTATTTTCATACAATTTCTTACACTAAATTAATTCAATTTATGTAAAACCATTTGATCCTAGCATTAATTTTATGTGGATTTTACTAAGTTCATTGAACAAATTCATATCCTCTAAAGATGAATGTGTGAATCTAGAAGAAGTTGTTTATAGTAGTCTGATGAATATTACAGACCGCATCTACTGCAAAACTTTCTTCTGCCTAAAGAGATGCTCATGAAAAGTTTATTTTCATTCCATGTTTCTGGTTATTTGTCTAAAAGTAGAAGTAGAGGATATAAAATGTCATAGAAATTCCTATGTTTAACATAAACAATTGTACACCCGTTTCGTATATCAAAGATGAATGATATAACATAATCTTATGTTTAGTTTGATGCATACAAATTATATAAAGTCCAAGCACATTTCACATAAAAGGTTGTGCTTTCTTTTGTTGAACATAAATGCTAATACTATACTACAGAAATTCAACTATCAAACTAGTTTAAGAGTAACAATTATGGTAGAATGTGAGTAGAAGTTCAGAATAACTCACAGAAATTACAAGGTCATGCTCTCTCTCACGCTTATTGAGTGTTCGGTTCAATGCTTGGATGCTATCATAGCTATGAATAACTGGCAACTCCTTCAAATCTACCCATGAAAACAATTTAAAGAAAAAGTAAGCAATGTAACAACCCACTTCAGAAATGTAAATAACCAGCATGCGTACTAAACCTAAAATAGTGACATTTGAACAGTATAAGCCATTAATAATGCTTAATAGCCTTAATATGCAAACAAGAACTTATCAAATGCTATCATAAGAGGTTCATTTGAGCCTATTTTAGAAAAAAAACACTACCTCGTAAAAGGATTTGAGCAGCTCTTTGCATATCTTTAGATGGCTCCACCAAATTAACTTGCTGCAAAGAACGCGACCACACCTCTCTCATCGCCCTTAACATCATTCGATTACAACGATAATCGCCATCAAAAACATCAAACGACCCGTCAAAATAAACTGTACAAATCCAAATAAAATTCTCACCAAAGCGCCGAACCAGGCCCCGCACCAAAATCCAAAACCCTAGCAGGACTAAATCCCGGTAACCTCCTTCTAACCTAAAACATCAAACGTCACCATCACGAAAGACTTCTTTAAACTGGGGAAAAAAAGTTTATATCAAAGTAAGATCGAAATGAGACCTCTTTGAGAACTCGAAAGCAAGCAGAGTAAACAGCCGGCATTCTCGAAGCAACATAAGCAACAGTCTCATCCTCCGAGTACCGCAGACCAATGTCCCCATACGCCGAGCGTATCTTCCACCGGCCAGACCGGCGATCGATGGATCTGAGCGGGTCCTCGACGAGCTCACGTGAGGCAGTGGCGGACAGCTGGAGGTTAACGTCCTTGATTCGGCTGAAGGACTCCGATAGCCTTAGAACCTTTCGATTCATATGAGCCTTTTCCTGCTCTGAACAAAAAAAATTACAAAGAGGAAAAAAAGGACATATTTTTAGGATGGGTACTTTTGGGGGAAAAGAGAAAGGAAGAGAGCGAGGGACCTCGGAGGAATTTTTTGATGGCGCGGCGGAGGGAGAGAGGGATGAGGTGGATGCCCTCGGATTGCTTGGCGGCAGAGCGGAGGGTTTCGGGCGTGAAAGATGCCATCTTTGATGCGGTTTCGGCCACAGCTTTCGAC